ACCAGCGTGTTCACTGAAAGCCCTATGAGCTTTTAACTGGAATGCTCTAGAAATCATGTCCAACCAATTGTGATTCAGATGCTAGGCCTTTAACCGAAGCAGAAAGGGACATTCCTAGAAGAGGAGACTGAGCTCTGAGCCCGCTCACATTGGGCGGCCAGCACTCACTGCAAGCCCTCGCCTTCTGGGCAGGTGTAACCATGAACAGTCAGGTTTCTCTGCTCCAGCAGAACCGCGAGCTCTCCCCCGAGGCTACGTGGGGGCGGAAGGCCCGGAGGCAGCGGGCCTGGGGAAGGGGAGCCATGGTTTGGGCGCACCCCAACTTCTCTACCATGTGGAGTGCACATTGCTTTTTGCCTTCAACCATCGTTTCCAACTGATTTTTCTAATTCCACGCTCCAGCTCAGGGATTGAGGAAATCTTCTTGTAACTGGAAGGACAGACTCTGGAACCAACATTCAAGCTGGAGTTAAGCGCATGTGGGAAGATTATACGGCCCAAAATGAAGACACTGTGCAACGTGTAACATCTTCCTTGTTCTCCACAACCCTCAATCACTAACGATCTCTCCCTCAATTCTATAAGCGCAAAAAGAAAAATTCTGAAGAACCCTTTTTCAGCTACAGGCCACCAGGAGTGGGGAAGAGAGGAGACACAATTTCATGCCAACCAAGCTGTCTCTAAAACGCAGACCATGGGCATTTGTAATGATCCCCAACTGGGGTTGGGGGGCCTTAAGATGCCTTTCCTTCATCTCTTCACCCAAGAGAATCCAAAAACACCTGGAACTTGGAAAAGTGGTGAGGACTACTCACCGAAACACAATTCCAGCTATGAAGTAGAAGAGTCCAAGCGTGTCCATGACGTTCCACAGGTCGGTAAAGTAACTCACCCCGTTCACGTACCACTGCAGTGCAGACAGGGATGGAGAGAGGGCACAGCAGCTCAGAAACTTCCACTGCTTCCAGATTTATTAGTCTTCACCCATTTTTTTTCCAGATCCTTTTTGAGCCAACAATGTAAGCCCTACGACATAGCCCATGTCATTCCAAGGGGATAGGGAAGTAGGCTGCATGCCTGCTGCTCTGTTATTCATGTGTTGCTAACAAAGTTGAGAGAAAAAAAAGAAACTCATGCATCCCATCCTTCTGTTCTTTAAAGATGAACCTGCAGAGACCGAGCACAACCTGTGTGGGCAAACATGGAACCCCTGGTGACCATGTAGAGTGGTGTAGGTTGTGCACTGCACAACTCTAGAGGGTGTTACTCATACCGTGCTCATCATGGATTTGCATGTTTATTGTAAAAATTGTCTGACACATGGAGGTAAAACATCTGGATAGAAGAAACTTTTTTTAAGTTTCAAAGACATCTTTTTTTTTTTCTTGCACCCAGGTGCTATGTGTGGCACCTATGAGGACAGATGTGGTCACAGAAATGACTGACGGGAACAGTGTGTCTCAATGATCCTTTTCTCATGATTTGTAGATATCAGTCATAATTTCTCAGAAGAAAGCAGGTCAGGAAAACACTGAGATGAAGAGAGCAGGACAGATTATTCATTAGAACTGCACCTGGACAGCCTCCCTGGCAATCCACATACGGGGTGTGAGAGATTCCAGGGTGGTCATCTAAACTTGTCATTCGTCCATCCATTCAAAACATACTGACTGAGAGCCCACGGGGTTCCACACACCGGTGCTGGGCTCCTGGGACACAGAGACCTCAGACTGGGTGCAACATTGTCTCTCAAGGAATCCACTGGCCCACAGGAAAGACAGGCATTAAACACATTTAAAATGAAGCATAAAGGTTGAGGGGAGGTGAGACCGAAGGTCCAAGTGAGCCCAGCTAAGGGAGCCACCAGACTGCCCTGGGAAAGGCAGGGAAACAACAGCACAGAAGTGTCATCAGAGGAACACGGTGCTTTTCAGCTCTGCTAAATGAACTCGCCAGTGTGGGTCCATCTGAGACTCAGATACTGTTTTTCCTATTCTGCACCTGAAACCAAGGCCTGGGAGAAAGAAGCAAAAGAGCCTTCTCAAAGGCAGAAAGCCAGCAAGTGGCAGGTCTCTGGGTCTGAAACGTGGTTTCCTCTCTCTAGCATCACCCTGTTCTTTAGGCCCTGCAGAGATTCCAGTCTCAGACTTACGAGGGATATAGGAAACATTATCAGTTTCTCAAGAAACGTTTGCTTGCACTTATTTATAAATGCAAATAGCAGTTTCAGTGGACGAGGCGGGTGAGGGCATAATGAAATCAAGCACCGGGGGAACATTAAATTAACCCAGGTGGGAGCAGCCCGCTTTGACCACGTCCCGCTATGGGATGGCTGACCTCATGGGCTCAGAAATGGAATCAGGCTCTGTAACGATGCATGGGGGTGGTCCCAGTGACACGGATCCCCACCCACCAAGGACCCTGCACAAGATGAGGATGGTTGGGACAGGCTCTACCTGCCTCCCGCTTCCCTCTTTGAAACCCTGGTCTGAGAGGCAGGTAGGCTCAGGGCAACGGGGCAGCCCCAGCTGGGCTCAGCCTCAGGTTGTGTGACAGGAGGAACCCTAAGTAGATCAGTTCTGGGGCTCAGAGGCACCGTCACAGTAAGATGACATTCTTAAAAAGGAATAGCGATGTATTACATTGATTGATTTGCGTATGTTGAACCACCCTTGTGTCCCGGGGATGAACCCCACTTGATCACGATGTATAATCTTTCTTACGTGCTGTTAGATTCTATTTGCTAATATTTTGGTGAGGATTTTTGCATCTGTGTTCATCAGTGATATTGGTCTGTAATTCTCTTTTTTGGTAGTGTCTTTGCCTGGTTTTGGTATCAGGGTGATGGAATGAGTTTGGGAGTATTCCCCCCTTTTCAATCTTCTGGAAGAGTTTGAGAAGGACTGGTATGATTCCTTCTTTGTATGTTTGGTAGAATTCCCTGGTGAAGCCGTCTAGTCCTGGACTTTTACTTGTAGGGAGGTTTTTTATTGCTAATTCGATTTCATTTCTAGTGATCGGTTTGGTCAACAAGAGAAAGGACAAAAACCACATGATCATCTCAATAGATGTAGAAAAAGCATTTGATAAAATTCAACATCCATTTATGATAAAAACTCTCACTAAAGTGGGTATAGAGGGAACATATCTCAACATAATAAAAGCTATATATGACAAACCTACAGCCAGCACAGTACTCAATGGTGAAAAACTCAAAAGCTTCCCACTAAAATCTGGGACAAGACAAGGCTGCCCACTATCACCACTCCTATTCAACATAGTCTTGGAAGTCCTAGCCACAGCAATCAGACAAGAGAGAGAAATAAAAGGGATCCAAATTGGGAAAGAAGAGGTAAAGGTGTCACTATATGCCAATGACATGTTACTATATATAGAAAACTCTAAAAGGTCCACACAAAAACTACTAGAGCTAATCGAAGAATTCAGCAAGGTAGCAGGTTACAAGATTAACGTATAAAAATCACTTGTATTTCTTTACACTAGCAATGAATCAACAGGAAAAAAAGGTAAAGAAACAATCCCCTTTAAAACAGCACCCAAAGTAATAAAATATCTAGGAATAAATTTAACCAAGGAGATGAAAACTTATACATGAAGTACTATAAAACATTGATTAAGGAAATTAAATAAGATTTTAAAAAATGGAAAGATATCCCATGCTCCTGGATTGGAAGAATCAATATTGTTAAAATGGTCACACTGCCCAAGGCAATCTACAGATTTAATGCAATCTCTATCAAATTACCCAGGACATATTTCACACAACTAGAACAAGTCATAATAAAATTTATATGGAACCACGAAAGACCTAGAACTCCCAAAGCATTACTGAAGAAAAAGAAAGAGGCTGGAGGAATAACTCTCCCAAGCTTTAGACAATACTATAGAGCTACAGTAATCAAAACAGCATGGTATTGGTACAAAAACAGACATATAGACCAACAGAACAGAACAGAGAGCCCAGAAATGAACCCACAAACTTTTGGTCAATTAATCTTCGACAAAGGAGGCAAGAACTTGCAATGGAATAAAGACAATCTCTTCAGCAAATGGTGTTGGGAAAACTGGACAGCAGCATGTCAATCAATGAAGCTAGAACACTCCCTTACACCATACACAAAAATCAGCTCAAGATGGATCAAAGACTTAACATGACAAGATACAATAAACCTCCTAGAAGAAAACATAAGCAAAACATTATCTCACAGACATCTCAAAAATGTTCTCCTAGGGCAGTCTACCCAAGCAACAGAAATAAAAGCAAGACTAAACAAATGGGACCTAATGAAACTTACAAGCTTCTGCACAGCAAAGGAAACCAGAAATAAAACAAAACAACAACCTACAGAATGGGAGAACATTTTTGCAAAAGATGAAACTGACAAAGGCTTGATCTCCAGAATATATAAGCAGCTCATATGACTTAATAAGAAAAAAAAAACAACCCAATCCAAAAATGGGCAGAAGACCTAAACAAGCAATTCTCTAAGGAAGAATATGAATGATCAATAAACACATGAAAAAATGCTCAATATCACTAATTATCAGAGAAATGCAAATCAAAACTACAATTAGGTATCACCTCACACCAACAGAATGGCCATCATTCAAAAGTCCACAAATGACAAATGCTGGAGAGGTTGTGGAGAAAAGGGAACCCTCCTACACTGCTGGTGGGAATGCAGGTTGGTGCAACCACTGTGGAAAACAGTATGGAGATTCCTCAAAAGACTAGGAATAGACTTGCCATATGACCCAGGAATCCCACTCCTGGGCATATATCCAGAAGGAACCCTACTTCAAAATGACACCTGCACCCCAATGTTTACAGCTGCACTATTTACAATAGCCAAGACATGGAAACAGCCTAAATGCCCATCGACAGATGACTGGATAAAGAAGACGTGATATATTTATACAATGGAATACTATTCAGCCATAAAAATGATAACATAATGCCATTTGCAGTAACATGGATGTTCCTGGAGAATGTCATTCTAAGTGAAGTAAGCCAGAAAGAGAAAGAAAAATACCATATGAGATCGCTCATATGTGGAATCCAAAAAAATAAATAAATAACATAAATACAAAACAGAAACAGACTCATAGACATAGAATACAAACTTGTGGTTGCCAAGGGGGCAGGGGGTGGGAAAGGGCAGACTGGGAATTCAAAATTTGTAGATACTGACAGGCATATGCAGAACAGATAAACAAGATTATACTGTACAGCACAGGGAAATATATACAAGATCTTGTGGTAGCTCACAGAGGGAAAAAATGTGACAATGAATATATGTATGTTCATGTATAACTGAAAAATTGTCCTCTACACTGGAATTTGACACAACATTGTAAACTGACTATAACTCAATAAAAAAAGTTTAAAAAAATAAAATTAAAAAAGTAAAAAAAAAAG